GGCTGGTCTTGAACTCCTGACCTTGAGTGATCCTCCCGCCTCGGCCTCCCAGAGTGCTAGGATTACAGGCGTGAGCCACCATGCCTGGCCTCAATAGGGATTCTTTTTAAAAACATGGGTACAATATCATCACACTTATGAAAAGAAAAATTTCTTGAACATCATCGAATACCCAGTCACTTCATATTTTCCTGATTTACTTTTTTTTTTTCTTTTTAAAAATCCAGCACTTCTTAGTCTACCTTTGTATTTTTTCTTTTGCTGGTATATTTGTTGGTGAAATAATCGTGTTATTTATCTTACAGATTTTCTCAGAGTATATGTTTTCCCAGCTTTATTGTTGGGTATAGTATAAGGTGATCCTCTGTCCCCTGTATTTTGTGGAAATTGGTAGCTATATATAGAGGCTTGATCAGATTTGGGTTTGATTTCAGGGCAACAGAGGGAGGAAATAAAAGCTATCGGGTATGATCATTGACTAAAATCTGAATTCATTAAAGATTACAAAATGATGCTATTTCTCTGCTGTCTGTTTTCCATTTATTAGAAGTTTGCCCTCATCTTCATTACCTTGAGGTACAGGTCATATGTGAAATGCATGTTAAATGCTTGGTTCTAGCTTTTGTTATTATATTAGTTTTTTAAAATATTGTGTTGATTTCCTAGCAACTTTCAAAAATGACCTTTCAGTTTTTGGTTTGAATATTTAAATATATTTGGTTTATTTATTTTTTGTCCTTGTTGATGTCAGCTTCTTTGGGATAAATCCTGAGACCTTCTGTTATAGCCCTAGTAATCTTCAGTAGTTTCCTTGCTATGTTACGTGAACGCACTAATGCATATCCTGTTAAAGGCTTGGGGTCAGCTAGTTCTCTAGAATCCTCAGGTTATTTTATGGGGAAATGGTATTTTGTGCACCACTGGCTGGGGACAAGGAGTGCTTATGGCTTACTGGTTTCATTATTATTTATAAGCTTTTCATTAGACTGAGCTAAGAAATATGTATCTAGTTTCTGTTTTTTAAGACAATATATCTTGAGTTTGTACTGATGTTTCCAATTTAAAATTTGGGTTTCGGCCGGGTGCGGTGGCTCACACCTGTAATCCTAGCACTCTGGGAGGCCAAGGCGGGTGGATTGTTTGAGCTCAGGAGTTCGAAACCTGCCTGAGCAAGAGCGAGATGCTGTCTCTACTAAAAATGGAAAGAAATTAATCGGACAACTAAAAATATATAGAAAAAATTAGCCGGGCATGGTAGTGCATGCCTGTAGTCCCAGCTACTCGGGAGGCTGAGGCAGAAGCATTGCTTGAGCCCAGGAGTTTGAAGTTGCTGTGAGCGAGGATGACACCACGGCACTCTAGCCCAGGCAACACAGTGAGACTCTGTCTCAAAAAAATAAATAAATAAAATAAAATAAAATAAATAATAGGGTTTCATGGTTTTTATTTCCTCACTCTCAAATCTGTCTCCTTTCTCCCATGTGAAAATCTTGGATCTCAGTAACTCCAGTGTAATTACTGATTTGCTCTTTCTCATAATTACACACAAAAATATTGGAATAACAGTACCAATAACCATATAGTTTTGAAAGCAGTTTAAGAATTTTATTTTCATACTTTGTGCCTTTGGATTTGTTCCTAAGGGACATACACAATAGTTGATTTTTATTATGGGTCAAAATCACTGTTACGTTATTTTATGTTAATTGGATGCACATTTAAGTTCCTTTTGCTTTTAGCTTTTACAAATTTATTTATTTCGATTGATTGATTGATTGATTGACTGACAGCTTGTTGCTCAGGCTAGAGTTTAGTGGCCCAATCACAGCTCGCTACAGCCTCAAACTCCTGGGCTCAAGCAATCCTCCTTCTCTAGCCTCCTGAGTAACTAGAACTACACATGTCGCCGTGCCTGGCTAATTTTTCTATTTTTTGTAGGGACAGGGTCTCACTATGTTGCTCAGGCTGGTCTCTAACTCCTGGGCTCAAGTGATCATCCTGCCTCAGCCTCCCAAAGTGCTAGGATTTATAGGCATGAGCCTCCGTTCCTGGTCAATTTTTAAAATTTTATTTTAAATCTGTGTATGAGTTAAAAGTAAAATATCTAAAATTCAGAACATTACACACTCATATATATGTATATCATATCGTCATCTTACTTAGACTAACAATAACTTGCTGTACCTACTTTTCTGGTTTTTTGCCTTGCCTGTTTTTGTTTTTTTTAACTTGACAATATATCTTGCAGATCACTCTCTAATAGTATTGAAAACACTTCTTTTATTTTTTATATCCATATAACACTCAATTGTGTGAATGTACCATAGTGTGTTCATAGCTAATGGACCGTTGAGGGGGATTCCCCTTCTTTTTCAGTTAGTGAATATCCATGTGCATGTATCTTTCCCCAGGTTTATTAAGGTATAATTGACAAATAGAAATTGCGTATATTTACAATTCACAACTTTGTTTCAACATATGCATGTATCGTGAAATGATTAAATCAAGCTAATTAACGCGCACGTGTTTTTTTTGGTAGTGAGGACATTTGAGATCTACTCAGCAAGTATACAGTACGTTATTATTGATTTTAGTCACCCTACTGTACAGTAGATCTCCAGAATTTATTTCTCCTGTGTAACTAAAACTTTATACCATTTGACCAACATCTCCTCATCCCCCCGCTCCGCCCCCGTGCCCCCACTCCCAGCCTCTGGCAACTAATAATACCATTCTACTCTCTCTTTCTATGAGTTAACTATTTTTAGATTCCACATACAAGTGAGATCATGCAGTATGTGTCTTTATACTCCTGGCTTATTTCACTTAGTATAATATCCTCCAGGTTCATCATCCATGTTGCCACAAATGAAAGGATTTTCTTTAAGGCTGAATAACATTCTTGCGTGTGTGTGCGCGCGCGCGTGCGCTCCTGTGCGTGTGCATGTACGTATGCTACATTTTCTTTATCCATTCATTTGTTGATGGATACTTAGGTTGTTTCCATATCTTGGCTATTGTGGATAATGCTGCAGTGAACACAGTAGATATCTATTGAACATACTGATTTTATTTCCTTCGTATGTATACCTAGTAGTGGGATTGCTGGATCATATGGTAGCTCTGTTAAATTTTTGAGAAAACGTAATGTACTGTTGTCTGTAATGGCTGTACCAATTTACATTCCCACCAACGTGTGCAAGTATTCCATTTTCTCCACATCCTCTCTAATACTTATTGCTTGTCTTTTTGCTAATAGCCATTTTAACAGATGTGAGATGATAATCTTTAATTTGCATTTCTCTGATTAGTGATTTTGAGCATTTTTACAATATACCTGATTTTTAATTGCATTCCTCTTATGAGTAAAGTTTAGCATCTATTTCATACACTTAAGAGCCATTTGCTTTTCTTTGTTCTATGAACTCTGTTCATTTTTCTAACCCATTTTTCTGTCGGATTTTTGAGCCTTTTCATGTCTAGTTTTACAATTTATATACCATATTAGGGACATTAGCACCCATGTCTGATGTGTTGCAGTTAGTTTTACTATTTTGGCTGGCTTTACTTTGTTTATTGTGGTTTTTGCCAGGCAAACATTTTCATTATTAATTAAAACTGTCATTTCCTTTTCTTTTGCTCCTACAATAGACGGAAATAGTATAGTCATGTAAAATATAATAAAATGTAAATTAAATATATTTGTAAAATATACACTCAGTCCTTTGTTATGTGTTTCTTTTGCTTCTAGGCAAGGATAAAAGCCATCAATACATTTTTTGCTAAGAATGGTTATCGATTAATGGATTCTAGTATGTATAGTCAGCCCATTCATACACAAGCACAGTATGCCTCACCAGTCTTTATGCAGCGTGTATGTAATCCCCATCAACAGAACTCGTTCTACAGGATTGTGCCTCAGACTTGGTCTCCAAATCCTGCACCTTACTTTGAAACACCACTGGTAAGTGAGATCCTTATAGAACAATAAAATATGAAATAATAAAATTTTTAATTCAAGCTAAAATTTTAAAAAATCAGCTGGAGTAGTTCATTTGTTTGGTGTTGATATTGGTTACTTTTTGACTTTTAAATAGTAATATGGATATCGTATCCTCTATACTAAATATATGCATGTGACTAAGGATTGAGCTATTAGTTCCTATAATTTTATTCCATTAAATTTACTGAGTGAATTGAAAGAAGAGACTAGATAAGTCTTGCATGGTTTTGGATGACTTTTAGTGTTGTGAAATATTGTCAGAGAGGAATGTTCTTCAATAAGTAATAAACTAGTGATTCATTGTTCCTAAATCTAGTGAATTTAGGTACTTCAAGTGAATATTTCAAAAGTGGGTCATTAAAATATTTTAAAGGTATTTTTGGCTTGTAAAAAATTGATGTTAGGTTAGCTCATTCGGGTCCTTATGACCCTCATACCAGATTTTGCCTTTACCATTAATATTATTTAAATGTTAAAATTTTCTTGTAGGCTCCCTTTCCCAATGGTAGTTTTATGAATGGCTTTAATTCACCAGGATCTTATAAAACAAATGCTGCTGCTATGAATATGGGTCGACCATTCCAAAAAAATCGGTAAGATAAAAATCACAGCTGGAGTTTATTTTAAACAATTCCCAGTGGTTGTTGAGGACTTACTGTGTTATTTATTAGCAATGCTTGTTGGCAGGCTCAATAAAAAGTTTGGTTTGTTTTATAAAAAGAATGTGGACAGTTCAGTAATTCAACCTAGAATTCGTAAATCCACTTTGTGTAAAAAGCACATTGGACTGAGATTTTTTTTTTTTTTTTTAAGAGATGGGATCTTGCCCTGTTACCAGGCTAGAGTGCAGTAGCACATTCTCATAGCTCAGTGCAGCCTCCAATTGCTGGTCTCAAGTGATCATCCCACCTAGCCTCCCAAGTAGCTGGAACTACAACTGTGCAGTACCATGCCTGGCTAATTTTTAAATTTTTTGTAGAGACAGGATCCCACTATGTTGCCCAAGCTGCTCTGAAACTCCTGGACTCAAGCAATCCTCCTGCCTCAGTCTCTGAAAGCTCTGGGATTACAGGCATGAGCCACCATGGCTGACTTTGGGTTGTTTTTTTTAATAATAAAGAAAAGAGAAACAATATTTTATGGTAGCAGTCTTTGACATAAAATCTGATGTCTAATTGCCATTAAGTGTGTTAAATGGGTAACATTTTGGAGAATGAGAGTTCTTTGAGGATAGAAATGTTGTTAACTGATTTGAATTGAGATGTATGTTATTTGAGATTTTAAAGAATTGACTTTTGGCTGGGCGAGGTGGCTCACGCATGTAATCCTAGCACTCTGGGAGGCCAAGGCTTGATCTCCTGAGGTCGGCAGTTTGAGACCCCCTCTCTACTAAAAATAGAAAAATTAGTGGGACATGGTGGCACACCTGTAATCCCAGCCACTCAGGAGGCTGAGGCAGGAGAATCACTTGAGCCCAGTAGTGTGAGGTTACTATGAGCTAGGCTGACGCCACACCACTCTAGCCCAGGTGACAGAGTGAGACTCCATCTCAAAAAAACAAAACAAAAATAATTGACTTTTGAAATGACTTCTATGAACTATAGTGTACAACAGACAATAGCTAACATTTATTGAGCATTTAATGTCTCAAGCTCTGTTCCTAGACTTTACATGTTTTATCAGTTAATTTTGAGAATCCTGTAAGATAGGTATACTTATATGTCTATTTTATAGATGAGGAAATTGAGACATAAAAGGTTATAAATATTACAACCAAAATTTGACTGAGGCAGTTTGACTCCAAAGCTAGCACTTAAAGCATAATGTTCATAGTAAATCATTGGAAACTGCTGACATGGTAGTTCACACCTGTAATCCTAGAACTTAGCATTTGGGAGGCCACAGCAGGACGATTGCTTGAGGCCAGAAGTGCAAGAACAGCCTGAGCAACATAGTGAGACCTCAACTGTACAAAAAAATTTTTTTTTTTTTTTTTTTTTTTTT